AGGAGATGAAGAAGAGGAGGAGGAGGAGTGTGGTTTCCCCTGCAGGGCAGAGAGGAACCCTTCACGCATCATCACCAGGAGAGCTGTGATTGGCTGCAGCCAGAAAGACATTCTTCATCTTCATCTTCACTGTATTTACATCCTGTGAGTGGAATGGTTTTATATCAAACTGTATTGATCGTATCATTGCCCCTGTATCTGGATTATTAACACTGATCACCGTGGTAACGATTGAGACTGTTTCTGTTGCTGATATTGATCTTTATTAAAGGCACTGACATTTCACATCAGTCACAGCTGACATTTAGTCTTAAACAGAATAAACAGATGCAGACATTATAGACATTATAGATATTATAGATCATTATAGGACGTTACACTCACAGTAAAGTGAACACAACACTAACCAGAGACTTTATTTCATGCTGTTACAGGAGCTGACACATTGTACTTGTCTGTTGTCTTCAGAGTAAATGAAAGATCATTGATTGGATCTCCACTGTGAGTGTGAGTGAGTTCTCAGTCTGAGATTAAACAGGTGGAAGGTTCCCAGAGCTGCTGCTGATAAGAGTCAGTATTTATAACGAGAAGGTGAACTGTTGATTCCAGGGTTCAGACTTCAGAACACACATAAACACGTTTCATAGAAAGAAAGAAAAAACCCTTTTTTAATTTCTTTCTTTCCTCTCTTTGAAAATGGCCATACCACTTTTTCTGTCGCCACACTTTAGGCTAACTTTGGTGCATTGCCGTACTGATGGAATTGTTAGGTCTGGTTTCATATGAAAGCAGTATGTTCACTGTAACCTTAGGACAGGGATAATGGGGTGGCTCTTGCTCCACAGCCTGATCAATTGCCCAGCCCTGATCAGCTGTGTGATGTGACACTTAATGCTCTTTCTCCCTGAAACTTCATATTCAATAAAAATGTTTCAAACAATGATGGAAATTCCAAAAATATGTGTGCTTGTGAACATGTTTTTGTTACTTATTGTGCACCCGTCGCAGTATACACTCTGACCTTGTGGGGACAGGTCAGGGGCTAAAGACCTGGTCCTAATGCGACCTGGTTAGGGTTAGGTCTGTCTTCGGGGACACATTTCAGACAAAGATCAGGCATTAAAGCTGCAGTAGATATATAAAAGTATTATAAAGACAGTTGATTATTGAGTCTCATTCCCAGATAATCCCATCAGGAGCACCAGGAGGAACCAGAGGAACTTGATATTTTCACAGAATATCTGTCTCATGTTCGACTGTCAGGATGTAGTTTCAGCAAATATGACAAAAAATATTTTCATCAATGTCACCTACTGCAGCTTTAATTGGGGATGGAAACAATTTCTCCCATCTGGAAAAAGCAGATATTTGGGTCTGTGGTTCGGATAAGTCTCCAGGGAATGGAAATGTTATTTAGCAAAAAGTGAGTTAAGTAAATGTTTTTTTATGCTCAGAGAAATAACTTGATCCACAAAAAGGGAACCAACAGAAACAGTTTGGGAACCAGTGGGTTCGGGGAAGCCCGTCTTTTACGACGCCGCACTGTGCGTTCCAGCAGACAGACAGGCAGGCGTGTAGATCTTCACCGTCTCATCCCAGGAACAGTCCACCACCTGTGGACCACACAACACACACTGTAAGACAATAACAACAACAACAACAACAACAACACGTATTTACACACTGCAGAGACTATGGCTGAAACTCCTCTGTCTGTCTGTCTGTCTGTCTGTGTCTCTGTGCTGCAGGTCAAGTGTGGACACTCAGGGAGGACAGACAGACGCCTCCTCTGGCGCACACTTACATCAAAGTGTTCCACCTAAACGACTCTCATTATGAGGTCTGGGACAAAGACGTTTAGAGCTGGCCGCTGGTGTCCACCACAGACTGAAATCTGTCTTTGTTCCTTCTGTCCTCCATTTCCAGGAGCAAAGACGACGATTTATGGACGTGATTTTCTAAAAGAAAGTTTGCATCAAACGTTCCTCATTTAGTGTAATTCAACCTCTTGCTTTCATCATCCCCACTAACACACACTTCCTGTCTGTAGATAAAAGATCCACTGAAACCTTTAATCATGTTTTATACTGACGAGTTGTAATTTGTTGAGATTGTTAATTCCATGTTTTTCTATATTTTCTATACATTTTTTGCCGCTGAGTGTACGTCTGTCATCCAGTGCAGGGTCCAGACTCACAGACTGTTTTTATGTTGGTAATTGACAGAACAGAACATTCAGCCTTCCTTTCAATTGTGGTGTTTTTACCTCTAATTGCAGATAATAATGGTTCAACCCTCTGTACGCAAGCAGGAACACTCACAGATCACCAAAGTTTAGTTTCAGGTTCAATTTCTGACTCCAACAACAGAGAGACTCTCTCTCTCTCTCTGTTACGATGGGAATTAAAATTAAAATATACACTGTTAAAGTTAATTCTGTTTTCAAAAATTGTGAGGAAATATATTCGTCAATGACCTTTTCTTCCATAATGAAGACGCTGATGAGACAGAACTGACTTCATTAATCAGGAACTGTGAATAAATCACTGACGAAAGAACTATAACGGAGAAAAACTAAAAGATGGAATTACACAGGCTGAATATTGTTTCAGTTCAAGGTAATTATCTCAGAAATGATCTCTTTTAATTATATAATTATTATTCAGATTCTTTATGAATCATATCCTCACAGCCCGGAAGCAGATATTTGAAGGCCTGGCAGCAGGTGTTAGGGACAAAACAAGCAATCTGAAGACGTCACCTAATATAATATAATGTAAAATAAAAATCTAACTCCTATTTAAATAATTAATAATAATAATAAAATGCTCTCAACAATCTGAATCTTTACTTTCTGAACTTTTTTAGACAATGCAGCAGAGGAGCAGCTGTGTCTCCGCCTCCTCCTCTGTACTCTATAATCGAGCGGGACGTGGCTATCAGCTGGATGAAACACTATCTCTCTGTGGCGTCTCCTGGCTGCAGAACACGCAGCAGCTGATGAGTCCGCCCTTTGCTCACAGCTTTCAAAGTAAAACACCGGTTCCACTCCACTTCCACCGCAACGAATACAAAGCCTCTTTATTGTTCCCACTTTGACGGCTGTTAGGACTCTCGCTTTGTGTTCAGTTAAACAGCAAAACAGAAGCTGCAGCCGGCTGCTCCATGAAGTGGGATAATAAATACATCCTAGTCCTTACTCTCATTCTGCTCTAGTTTGTTCCTGCTACTATAAACTTTTAGGCAGCCACTCAGAGGAAATGCATTAACCTGCCAGCAGCTATAATTCATTATAATCCCTCACTGTGAGACCAGGGTTGTTTGAATCTGTCACAGTTTATTAAAGCTGTCATATTTGTTCCTGGCTCCATATAAACCTGTTTATAAGTGTGAATTATAACATATTAATGGCCACAGCGCTTTGGGCTGTATCACTGTGAGCTCCACAGAAATGCTTATATTCGACATTTGTCCACCAGCTGTTTCACTGTATGTGTTTGAACTCATGTACGCTGATGATTCACCTGTAAATACGGATGTCTGAATGGTTGCTCCAGCCACTGGTTGGAAGCCAATAGAGCAGGCTTTATCAAACGTCTCAAACCATCTAAGTACCATTATGCCCGATCTTAAAATCCATCAGCGTTGGCCAAACTTTTTCAGCTACAGATGGCGTTCAGCTACAGACGGCTCACACAGGAGGCAGGTTTATTCCTAATAAGAATATAATTTATTACTGAAGAGATAATTTGGCGGAGAAGGGGTCTTCCTGGTCCACACTTCTCTTCCCAATAGTTCCTGTTGAGAACCACGATTGGAGTGTTTCTGAACCATTCATTTGACCTCTGCCCACATTTTAGCTCTGTACTAATAATGGATGTATGCATGTGCTACGTTCATGAATGTGACTGCACATGCAAATGAGGAGAGACCAATGGGATGCACCATCTCTTGAAATGCACCAGAATGCATTGCAGAGACAATAAATGGAAAGCGTGTAAATGACTTTTAAAAGCCACACTGATAGCATGACCAGAAAAATAAATGTATGCAACGTGTCCGCAATCAGCGGCAGCAGCTGCTACTGACCCTTCATAGTTTAGTCACACAGCAGTAACCAGAAAGAGTTTTAAAAGGTCAAACTGCAGCAGTTCATAAAGGTCTGAACACTGCATCCCCCCTCCTCTGCTGCTGCTGCGGTACCACCGGGATGGACAGCAAAGCTCTCACTGGAATTAACAGCTTCCTGGTCTGTGAGCTAAGACCTGATTCCAGGACTGAAGCTAAATCCTCCTCGTTCTGACTGTTGACTGGTCACAAACACTAGATAATGACAACAAATTATAAGACAAAATGTCATCCACTGTTTTAACTCTATCAGAACCGGATGAAGGATTTTAGTCATCTGGATCTTAAGTTATCAGAGCTTCTTCTACGTCTTTCGTTGTTTTGATGTGAGAGGCCCCCTAGTGGCAGAAATGACTTGGTTGATCTGAGGTTAATCGCACATGGGTGGCGTGTTTTCAGCATTCCTTCCGAACCATTGGACTCCTCCTCCTCTGCTCTGCTGATCGGATCTTTGAATCAGTGAGTCAACAAGCTGAACGGCATTTCGGGGCATGAGTAAGCAAAGCAGCCTGAGCAGTGAGTCAGCCACTGAGAAGAGGAATGCCCTCCTTTAATTAACTTTAACAGCCGGCCGTAATGGAAAGGTGCGCACAACAGCCAAGACTGCAGCAAAGCACAAAGACAGAGAGAGAGAGGAATGGTAAGATGTATAACGAGGAGGAGGAGGAGCGGCAGAAAGGAGGAGGAACACAAGAAAAAGGCCTAAAGGGAAAATAAAAGACAGACAAGTTCAAAGTCTGACTAATATTAAACGTCTTCTTAAATGTCTTTCTTATTTCACATAATGAGGAGAAAGATGAATGAGAGAATAATTAAAACACTAATAAGCAGGTGGCAGATATGTGCTCTGAGGGGGGAGGCACACGGCGGTCATATGGTACAATACGCCTCTTTTCACTCTTTAATCGTCATGGTAACGCCGGTGCCTGCAGCACAAACAACAAAAAACTTTTTGTTTTGAAACTTGAACCAGAAAAAAATGGGGATTTAAAATTTTTTTGTTGCCCCAGAGCACCAAATGTGGATCAATCCACCACTGAAAATAGTCCTCAGCATTAGCATTAGTAGCACAAATACTACAACATACTACACTGACACTGTAGTAGTACTGTACCACAGACAGCGTCATCACTGTACTACTAAATGTAAAGATGGCGGTTTACAGTAAAGACTTTTTTACAACATTACCAACCTACGCACCTGAATGGTTGTCATCCTGCATTCCTTTATGATCTATCACTATCCTATCGCTCTCTCACACACACTCTCACACACACTCAGGCATAGAGACCCTTTTCTGTGAGGGTAAGTGTGTGTGTGGTTTGGCCTGCAGAGCCGTAAAGAGGGTGATCCATCAGACACATGTGACTACGCCTGGATGAGAACAGACCACACCAGTGAGAGAGAGAGAGTGAGAGCAAGTTAGCACTGATATCAGAGGAAGAAATTAAAATATGAAGAGTCCAGAAAAAAGTACAATCTGTGATAAGAAAAGACCGAACGAGCAGTGCGGGAGGAGGAAGAGGATGAGGAGGAGTTTGATATCTCACAGTGGGTCTTATAATGTAACATTATTAAACCAGACAGTCACATGTGTCTGAAATGATGCTTGAGTTCACCGAGTCTCTACAACTAAACTGGGACAGCCTTTCGTCTCCCTGACTGTATGGCCCCTCCCACGTCGTTGAGGGTCTGGTATCACCTGACTGGAGTCGTTAAGGCCACAGTATACTCGCCGTTCCCGACCTGTCGTGCGACACTGTGACGTCAAAATTGCCATGAATGTTGGAAAAGAGGAGGCCATATGCCGGAATATTTGGAAAATCAAGAAAGAGGTCGCCATTGTTGTACATTTTTCTTCTTCTTGTAGTGCGTAGAAATAGCAACACCTGTGTTCAGGAGAAGACTGCAACTAGTGTCGCGACCACCACGCGCAAGTATAAATAGTTACGGCGGCTCCTGTGAACGCTCAACATTGTCGCGTGACAGGTCGGGAATGGGAGTCTACAAGACGCTTTAGAAGCTGGGTGGGTTCAAGATGGCTGCCTCTCTCTCCCTCCCACTTTGGTTTTGTTTGGTCTCAGATTGTGTTTATTTAGTTTAGCCTCGGGTCACATTGGACAGAGTTTAAAACACAACGGACATTTTGCATGGACATTTTCGAATATTTTGAATTTTTATGTTATTATTTTTATGTTATTATTCGGATACCTCCACATTTCGAAGCAGTGGGCAGCTCAGTCAGTGGCCCACTGCTTCGAAATGTGGAGGTATCCTCTAGAATCATTTCTGCACAGGGACAAGTTCGCAATAGTAAATATACAACCTTCTGTTAGACTTTCAAAATAAAGGTCTGTGCAATACTCCTTCAAGGACTGTTTTATCAGCACTTTCTCTTATTTATTCATTAATTTATTGTTTGTCTGTTTTACTCCATTACTAGTGTCTGTTTTTGTCTTCTACTCTATATTTTTCTGAGCTACTG